GTCCCGGGTGGGGCTCGCCTCCTCCGCCTCCTCCGCCGCAGGGGCTGGCGCTCAGCTCCCGGCTCTGCTGCCTGCCGCCGGGCTTTACTGGGCTGGGGTTGCCGTCCGGCTCCTGGAGCGAGCCTTTCCGGCTGAGGAGGCAGTGCGTTAATTTGGGCGCGCCCCAGGCGGGGAGGTGCCTCCTGGCGTTCACCAAGAACGGGGCGGGAGGGGCCGGGCTTTTCCTGCGCCCGGGGACCGTGGCGCTGGGACGGCGGAAGCCGCTGCCCGCTAGGGGTCTGGAATTTCGGGACCCTTGACTGGGTCGAATGTCAGAGACGGAAGGGGCCTTGGTGATCCCGTTCACCACCCTCCCCTCCCCCTTACCACTGGTCGGGGAAATGGATGCCTGGAGAGCGGTAAGTTCAGCCACCTAGCCAGACAATGCTTTTTCTGCGACACCATGTTGCATCGCGTTGTAGGAAACTCGGTTGTTCAAGGCTTTGAGGGGGGTGGGGGGGCAGGGGGTGTAATTGTAAATCTCTGTACCAGTTATGTTGTATTAGGCTTATCTAGGTGGAACGTGTCGATGCCTCAGCTATATTTACTCCTTTACCCCCTCCCCCTTTTTGCCCCTTAACAGCTGGTCTTAATTCCCACTTTCTGTTTCTCTGCCTATAAGCTGTGAAGCAGAAGTAGCTGTGCAGTAACCTTGCCAGTCTGAGCGTCCTCTGCCCTTGTTTTGAAAGGATTCCATAAAATCAGAAGATGTTAGGACTGGTCGAGTTCGCTAGTGGTTCTAGAGCAAAGGTTAGGTGCTTTGGATTTGGAGTCATCTTTAGTGCATCTTGTGGAAAGATCACAAGCTGTTACCTTTAAGAGGAATGGACTTACTCTGTCTCTCCTTTGGTAGATGAGGCCCAGAAAAGCAGATTTTTAAATTAAAGACATTGCTTTGTATTTATAGTAGCGAGATAGTGTCCTTGCTAGGACTAGAACTCAGATTAATCTTGTTTTGAATGCTGGCTCAGACCTGCTGACTTGTGGGAGTTAATATCCTTTGAGAGTTACCCAAGCCTTCTTCCCAGTTTTTGCACAAGACCTTTGTGCCGGGATCACATGTGTGTATTATCCATGTGGGATATAAATTGCAGTGGTAAGTATTTAGATTTTACACTGTTTTCTTAGGCTACAAAAGCTTGACTCTTGCGGTTGCTTGAAAGTCAGCTTCATTAATTTTGCTTCCTAGTGTTGACATACGTTGGGTGTTTTGGTGGCAAACAAAGTAAAATTATGGTAAGTAAATTTTGCAATAAATTACAAAGAATTACTATCCATGTTAAAGAGGTTAAATATAGAGATTTGTTTAGCAAAGAAATTTAGCCATGTTCATCATGTAGCTAAACATGCAGAATTTTAAATTCCATTGCCACAGAAAACTGCACACTATCCTTCCTGCTATTGCTAAATTAAGAACCTATTCACACAATTCTGGTGTGTAGGATGAGATGAAGGGGAAAGCTTTAAATTTTGTGAAGTCTGTGAGGGATTCATTACATTCCTTTTTTCTGTGTCCAGGCCTATTTTTAAAAATGTGCAACTCTAAATGTACAGTAATGTTCTTAAAATTTCTTAAAGTAGTTCAGTAAGTGACTGGCTGACTTCTGCTAGCCACAGTTTTCCATTTGTCTAATAACAGTCCCTGTTATTACAGACTTATGACAAAACTAGATGAAGTAACTTTAATTTGCAAAATTTTGGAAAGTAGTGCAAATACCATTTTAGTATAAATTAAAGGTGAACGTGGACAAAATTTTGTTGTTCAAGCCTGCAAATGACTTGGTTTGTGTTATCAAGGAACATATATTGTTAAAGAGCTTGTAGAGCTTTGGAATTTAAAATATTGGTATGTGTTCAGTATGTAAAAATGAAATTATTTTACATTAATAAATTGTCACAGTGTGTTGTACAATCACATACATAAATCAGTATTTTTATTGATCTCAACATTGTTTAGTTCTAAAACTCTGAAGAAGAGCAAAGCATTAGATAGATACAAAGCATTTCTATGCTAACTTGTTTTTAAATGTTGATTAATCATAGATTGGCAAGTATGGTCCTAGTAAGAGTTTTTAAGCTCATGTCTGGCAGCTGAAACAATATGAAGTGAGGATGTGGAAGACTAAATGATTAATAATCATCTAACTCTATACCCTGCCAAACTTCTCAAGCATCAGTAGAACAGTTTTTTTTTTTAAGCTAGAGATGCCATTGGCTCCCTTAATTGGTTAAGAGCACAGAAGGTAACAGGCTGAAGGTCTGCTTTAAACAAATTAAAAGGCTGTTTTTTTCCCCCAATTCTCCCTGAGTCAGATTATGCACACCTACAAAGTGGTGTGTAAAGGACAGCTGTTGTGCACAAGGAGTTGTATCCTGAATTAAGGGAAACAGCTATTGAAACAAGAATTAGCACAATTAGCAACAGGTTATCAAGTTTAAAAATTGAGTCTTCAAATGCTCCATGGCAGAATGTACTATATAAAGTACTTCGAGTATGAAGGAGGAAATCTGTACAGCTTTTAACAAAAATGCTTTTCCAGAAAATCAAAACAACGCAGTCAGGGTCAAGGAGGCTATAATAGCTAGGTATCAGAGCTACAGCTTCTTATATCTGTGCTGGAAAATCCTATTTATCATGAATGGATTAAAAGTTCAGAACAAAAAGAACATTTTAAACATTTCTCTCTTTATTCATTTTAAGATCTCAGTTTCTTTCCTCCTCACCCTGTATTTCAGCATGATCCAGCAGAAAGATGGCTACTTTTAGAAGTGGCTATTCTATTTTTCTTCCTGTGGTGAGACTGTTGTGGGGCATGGATTCTTCAGGCTCCTATGTATCCATGACCAGCCTCCCACTGTGGTCAAAAAACTTAGCAGTGGACTTTGTGCACCCAGCTGTCTGCTGCTGCTTTGTCCTCCTACCAACAATGGTCAGCTTCAGGGTGTATTTATCATGGAACCTTTTGAGGCTAGAGGATAGTTGTCGAATATCAGAATCCATCCCTGTAGGATCTTTCCTCTGGGACACGAGAAAGGTGCTCTGCTCCTAAGCATTCATTAAAGAAATGTTGTGATGTGTGAAGCCCAAACAGGCCTGGACTCTGGAAGGGGTACAGGTCATCCCAAATCAGAGCCACTGTGGCAAGGACACAGGAGATGGTACAGATAGTGAGTGACCACCAGTTAGACCAAAATTCTCTGTAGAATTTCTTAAAAGGTAATAGTGAAAGTTTTGCGTAAAGGAAAATACATAGACTTAAACACTCAAATTATGAAACAAAGAATAAATAAGAATTTTCTCTTCAAGAAATTGAAAGAAATGCAACCGAGACAAAGCAGGAGAAATGAGATAATAAAGAGGAAAAACAAATTTAAAAACTAAAAAATAGTAAAATTGGTAAATTCAAGAGCTGATTCTTTGCTGGGTTGGGAGGAATGTCAATTAGGTAAACTGGTGACCCTGCTCAAGAAAAGAGAATATAAACACACAAAATTAGAAGTGTATTTTAAGCAGCAAGTGCTTTATAAGACTTTTTTTTTTTTTAAAGGAAATCCGGTTGTCAAAATTGACTCCAGAAGAGAACCTAACAGACAAGTGAAAATGGAAGAAATTGAGAAAGTTATCAAAAAGCTGCCATCCTCCAGAATACCAGGTCTACATGGTGTTTCAGGTGAATTCTTTTAACTTTCAAGAAAAAGATAATTTTGGTAAGATTTAAATTGTTCACCAGCATAAAGAAGGAAAAATGAGAGATTCCTTGTACAAAGCCAGTGGAACACTGACACCTGAAAGTGATGTAAAGATAGTGCTGAAATTGAAAACTTGGTGTGTTATGAGGAGTGATGTGAAATTAAAGAATAAAATATTAGCAAACCGTATTCAGTGATACATTAAAGGGGTATTTCACTGTGGCCAAGTAGGATTCATCCCTGTATTGCAAGGGTGAGTAGGTACCAAGAAATTTGCAAATGTATATGTGAAATAAATACATCCAAAAAGAACAGTAGTAATAGTTCATCCTTGCTGAGCCACCGACTGCTCTAGACTGCTCTCCTGGGTGCTTTACACGTATGAGGCTGGTGTATGAGGTAGGTAACATCCTTATTTTAAAAAAAAGTTTTTTTTTTGCAAGGGGTAGGTAATTGGGTTTATTTATTTATTTTAGTATTTTCAGTGTAAGTACCTGGGTATTGAACCCAGGACCTCATGCATGCTAAGCATGTGCTCTGCCACTTGAGCTATACCCTCCCCCCCACAACATCCTTATTTTATAAATGAGGAAACTAAGCCATTGAGTAACTTGCTGAAGGTCACACCATAACTATGTGGGGGAGCCAGAAGTTGAACCCAGTCAATTAGCTGTGTCTGTCAAATGTTACTCTGGCTCTATCTCTAGTATCCATACAGTCTTCTCAGTAGCTTTCTAAAAGCATCTGACCAAGGTTCATGATAGATTCCTGATTTAGTGGTAGTGGGAAGGGGTGGAGGTGGTAGTAAAACAGGAATAAATATATAGTCCCTTCCCATGTTTGAAAACTGTAATAAAAGGCCCTTATTATCAGTTGATCATTAGTCCCAGGAAAATGAAATCCATTTCTAATGGGAAACTATTTCCTAGTAAATAAGCAGAGGGTAGGGGCCTAACTTATAACTGCAGATATTCTAATTCTTAGGATGAATGCGCAATGAAATTTTGGAGATTATAGTGTAATTCGTCAGATGAGATTATATGCCAGCACAGGGGAGGCACGCTTCACTTCATGTTTGCAGCACAGTCCTAAGATGGGCAGGGATCGATGTCAACAGGGAACGTTACTTGAGTGGGAACAAACTTTATATGGGCCATTTGATCAGTGAGTATTTTGGTGTCATGATGGTTTGTCTCCTGGTGTGAACTTGAAACTGCTAGGACTTGGATTATGAGCACTCACATGACAGAAACTTCCTGTTTCTCAAACCAAAAGCCAATGTCATGCTTGACAGTTAATCCCTAGCAGAGTTTTCACAAATGTCAAGAACAATATAAGAATGTTCACTATTACCATAATTTAACTTTGTTCAGGAAGAATTTCTTAATCCAATAAGATAGAAGAAAGAAAGATACATACTATAAAGAAGGCAAAATTATTTGTGATACTTTATATAGCAGAAACAAACAAGTCCACCAAAGATCTGAGAAATAGAGGGGTTTGTAAGTTGGCTGTTTCTAACTTTAATGCATAGGAATTGGTAGCTTTTTCATACGCAGACAGAAAGCAGTTAGAAAATTAATTGGAGGGAGACAACCTACTCATAATAAGGACTGGAAAGGTAAAATATCTAGACATAAGAAATATTCAAGGTCTGTATGAAAGAAATTTTAAATGTTACCAAGGTCTAAAAACAAACAAGTAAATAGGAAGATACCACGTCCTTGTATAGTAAGATTCAGTTTTGAAAAAGTGACATTTCCTTAAATTTGTCTATAAAGTCATTTCTGCTATAAAATACCAAAAAGATTTTTGGGAAGAATATGACAAAAATATACTAAAGTTTGCCTAGAAAAATGAGAGCCAGGAAAACTGGTACTTCTGATAAGAGTAAAAAGGAAAGTCCTACTAGATAATGAAATCTTTTCTGATGCTACAGTAAATTAAAACCGATTGGTACTAGAGAAGAAATCCTAGGCCACTGCAGAATGGAATGGAGTGCAGAAATCAACGTACTTGCCTGTGAGTATTTAGATTATGCTAACTCGTGATGAAAAGAAAACTCAGCAGTCAGTTTCTAGGCAAGCTCTTAACTTTGGTTCATTCCTTATAGTGAAACTCCAGAGAAATTACAATACAGACAGTAAATAAAATTGTAGAAGTTGTAGAAGGAAGCATGGATTACTTGTTTATAATTTTAGAACAGTGAAGGCCTTCTAAGGAGGACAGAAAACCTAGAAGCCAAGATCGATAGATTTAATATCCATGTTAAGAACCTTCAGGATCACAAAAAATGATGCAAACAAAGTGGGGAAAGTATTTGCCATAATTGGATTAATACAATTAGGATTGGTGTTCTTCATATATAATGACATTGTACAAATCAAGAAAAAAATGAAGTGCCTGTAGAAAAATGGGTAACCTGAAAATTTACAGTAAAAGAAATGCAGATGGTCAATAAAATTTTTTAAATGCTGAATTTGATTTAAAAAATATTAAATGACAAAACAAGATTCTTTTTTCTTCACCCATCAGATTGGTGGAAATTACAGTTTAATACCTGATGCTGGAAATGGTAGGGAAACACTGGTAAATTGTAGTCAGTTTTCTGGGGGCAATGTGGAGTAACTATTGAATTAAGTGTATTGCTGTTTGAGCCAGCAGTCCATTCTAAAGATTTACCCTACAGATAAACTTGTGAGAGTTCACCAGGTGTAGGTGCAAAGTTGCCCATTGCAATATTGTTTAAAAGAGAAAAAAGAAAAAAAAAAACCAAAATAAAAAACAGCAACCATAATTAGGAGATAGAATAAATTACATACAGTACATGCATTTGATAGACTACTATGTAACCATTCAAAACATTGGGGTATCTGCACTGTTGTACACCTTGTTTTTTTACTAAATAGTGTGTTCTTTTTATGTTTTTTTTCTTGAGGTATTGTCAGTTCACAGTGTTGTGTCAATTTCTTTTTGTGTATTTTTTAAATGGTGGATAGGTTGGTGAGGATGGAGTGGAGTGTGACTTGAGTCAGGCTGACTAGTAAAGAGGCTTTGGCACTGGTCAGACAGGAGATGAAGAGGACCCGGGCTGGGGTGGCAAGCCTAGAGGAGAGGATGTGTGTATATTTAATTGGTTTAATTGTATTTTTCTTTAAAAAAATGCATATCTTTTTTAAAAATGTGTATTTTAATATGTAATTTTCTTTTCTGAACAGAGTAATACCCATTTCTTTTGTGAATTTTTGTTTAAGTGAGTCATTTGTTGTTTTTTTGGATCTGCAAGCAGTCCAACTCCGAGGAATCTGGCCTCTTGGTCAAGCACACCAGTGACTTCCTAATCTAACTGCTTTAGTCCCTGACAAAATTAGGAATAATTCCTCTCTGTGAACCAGGCCTTTCCTTTGGTTATTTAAATTGCAGTGGAGCAAATTTTCAGAATGGCAGGGGACACTTTTTACTGGCCCTTTATTCCCCGTCATGGTAGTGCTAAGCAGCATTCAGATGTAAGTCCTGCTCCTCCAGCCTCTGCCAAAGGTGAGGTCTCTTCAAGTGAACGAAGCATTATGGCGCCCGGGGTGGCGTGGCTACCCTGGTCATAGGGGTGGGCAATGAATGATTGGAGCCTCGGTATCGTCTAGCTCTATAGGTGTGATCAGGTGGCAGCGAGGAGAAGAGGTTCCTGACCCCTTTTATTACCTTCTGGAGGGCAGGCTTTGGTCCTGCAGTGATTTCCAGTCATAATTCTTCTCAACTGAGGATACATTTATCTTTTCTAATAGAAATGTGGTAGCAAGTCCGCTCCAGCTGCAGACAGAGAGGCTTTGGGCCAAAGTATGTAGATGTTATATTTTCTTAATATAGTCTGTCTTCTGGGAAAAGGGCATACAGGGACCTTGGTGTAACATGCTTAAGTTGAAAATAGTTTGTTTCCAATTGTACACGTGAAAAAGGGAAAAAATAGTATATAGTAGCTTCAGAGGGTCTTGGGATCATCCTGAGGGTCTCAGAGTGCCAGTCCTAGCCTGCTTCTCCATCCTTGTCTCCCACCCATCTGTCTCCCATTAAGCTCCAGCAGGACACACTCCTCATGAGTGTGATGCTGCTGCTGCATTGACACAGGACCAGCACCTTAGCCTGTGCTGCCTTTGGCTAAAATGTGCCTCACCTTTAGGTACATCTGAGTCCTACTCGGCTTTCAGAGCCCTGCCCGTAGCCTGCCCTGTCATTCCCTCCAGACAGCTAGTTAATGACCCCTACCTCTGTGGGGCCTCCTACCCATTTCTGTGGCTGCATTTATCACTCTCTAGTCTAATGATTTGCTTGTCTTATCTCCACTGAGGCGAGGGTCCTTATTTATCTCTACTCTCTGACACCTAGGGGAGTGCCCGAAACTCTAGAGGAGCTGAGTAAGTTGGTAGAATTAAAATCTCTTAGTATACTGAGGGGCCAGTGTAAGAGCAGGCAAAGAAGAAGAAATCCCCAACAAAAGTAAATGAAAGTCTTCTTGACAGTGCCATCCTGTGAGTCTCAACGAAGCAAATACAAAAACATTTTTATTTAAAAGAAATCAGGGAGGAAGGAAACAGCTGCGTAGGCTAACACATGTTGAGTGGACTCTGCAGTGCTCACCGTGTCCCCATCGCGGTGCTGGGGCCTGATGCACCATACTCTTCAGTTGACTTCCACTCCGGCCTGCAGGGTGGGTGGCATTGGCCGGTTGTGAGTGTGGAAACAGCCTCAGGGAGGTATAGCAATTTGCCTTCAGTCCCTTAGGAACTTGGTCTCACCCTGTCACTGTTGACCTTTTGTTGTCCGGGTGAGACCTTCATTATTGTGACTGTCTCCAACTTCTGAATGCAGAGTTCAGTAGATTGAGAAAATTCAAGTTGAAAAATGTAGAAAAGAAAATAATGGCATTATTATAAAATTAGAAAATATAAACTGCTCACTTTGGCTTTTTGTATGTATATTGATAGAAACAGGATTGTGCCATGTCAATAAAAGTATTCTTTATTTTTTTTTCTGTAACACTTTATTGATCAAAAAAAAAGGACTCACTGCTATCTAAAACTTCATTAACACCATTAAAAATTCAAAATTGTATCTATTCTGAACCTTAAATACTCTTATTTTTAATACCCATATGATATCCCATCAGGTGAATACATCTCTATTTAGGCAGCAGGTCCTTTACTGTTAAGCATTTAATTTTCACTCAGTATTTCTGTTAAGAGCATTATTGTAGTTGTCCTGTAGTTGAGTTTTTGTGTAGTCTTTTGTTAATTATTTCCCTTGACTGTATTTCTAGAAGGAAAGTTATGGTCATGTATGTACATGTTCCATATTTTATGTTACAGACCTGTGGCTCCTGCACATACGAGCTCCACAAGGACCGATGCTTTCTGACTCTTTCCTGTGCTTCACTCTGCTTCACCTTCACAGTGATGACATTTCTCCTTCACGTATTTTGTCCTGAGTGCTTAGCGGTTCACAGCAGCATGTGTTTGGTATGGGGAGGGAAGAAACAGAAGGAACTTGGTTTGTTTACCTTTTGTCTTAGGTCAAAGACCTAGATGGTTTATCTGACTTTTTTTTTTTTTTTAATAATTGAAACCCTTACATATAGTCTTTTTGTGTGTATGTGTGTGTGTTTTTAAAAAGATCTTAAGATTTATCATCTTAACCAATTTTAAGTATATAGTTCAATAAAGTTTAAATGTATTTAGATTGGTATAAAACAGATCTCCAGAAATTTTTCATCTGGCAGGATTGAAACTATACCCATTAAACAGTAAGTCTGTTTCCACCTCCCCTAGCCCTTGGTAACCATCATTCTACTTTCTGTGTCTGTGAATTTGACTGCTTTAAGTACCTCATATAAGTGGAATTGCACAGTATCTGTCCTGCTGTGACTTGCTTATTTCACTTGTCCTCAAGGTTCATCCATGTTGTAGCATGTGATAAGATTTCCTTCCTTTTTAAGGTCACATAATATTCCATTGTATGTATATACTCTGTTTTGTTTATCTATTCATTCATTAGCGGACACTTGGGTTGCTTCCACCTTTTGGCTATTTGTGAATAGTTCTGCTGTGAACATGGATGTGCAGGTATCTCTGGGGATCCTGCATTCAGTTCTTTTGGTTATATACCTAGAAATGGGATTGATGGATCATATGGTAGTTCTATTTTTCATTTTTGAAGAATCGCCATACTGTTATCCATAATGGTTGCACTGTTTAGCATCCCTACCAACACTTGTTATTTTCTGGGCTTTTTAAATGGTAGCTGTCCCAGTGGGTATGAGGTGATACCTCATTGTGGCTTTGATTTGCATTTCTGTGATAATAAGTGATGTTGACCATCTTTTTACATGCCTGTTGGCATTTTGTATATCTGCTTTGGATAAATGTCTGAGGCCTTTACTCATTTTTAAATCAAGTTACTTAATGTTTTTGTTGTTGTACTTAAATGTAGTTTCTTACTGTTGAGGAATAAGATCAATTTAAAAATATTTAGCCTGATATGTCTAAAATATAATAAAAAAATTACCATGTATTCCCCAAATAAAGGTACTTTCTTGGCCTATTTCTAGGATGTGGGAATTGTTCTGGATGATCTGACTAGATCCTTTTGGGGAAAGTCATACTTAGATGACTGGCAGTTTAGAAAGCAGATGTAGTCTAGGGGTAGGACATTGCTCTCGTTCCACTCAGTGGGCTAAGCTTATGTATTTAGGCTCAAATCTTTTTCAGCATGGTCTGGTACAGCCACCCTTTGTCTCAGGGCAGCCTCCCAAAGTCATTGCCATCTGTAGTGTGACAGCAAGAGCATGAACTCTGAAATCAGACTTCATTTCAAGATGCCAGCCCCACCAGTTACTAACTGTACCCTGGGCAAAGGAGAGTATGGGTTTTTTTCATTTGTAAAACTGGGAAAATAATGTTTATGTTATGGAGTTGTTTTGAGAATGAAGTATGTGAAAATATAATGTGTAGTACATACCTGCAGGCCTTCCTCGACCCTGTCCTCCCAGCCTCCACCTGCCAGAGTGCAGGCTCAGTGTCCCTTCCTATGTGCCCACAGTGCGTATTTATCACAGATGGTATTACACTGTGAGGTGATTGTTTGCCTTGGCAGCGTCTTCTGTTAGATTGCAGTTCCTCATTTTTGACTCTCTAGCACTTAGCAGAGGGCCTAGTTCAGAGGAGACACTAAGAGTTAGTGAACAGAATGATGGAATGCATGTCTTGCTATTTTATTTCTCGTGGAAGGACTTTGAATCTGTTTCAGAAGGATAATAGCATATACCATTATGTAATTGTAGGCATTACGTATGAACTAGTGCAGTGGTTCTCAAATTGTTTGGTTTCAGGACTGCTTCCTTTACACTTAAAGTTTTTTGTGGGCCCCAAGAGCCTTTATTTGTATGGATTAATATGCATGGTCTTAGAAATTAAAATAAGAGTTTTAAATATTTATTAATTTACTTTAAAATAACAATGATAAACCCATTACATGTTAACATAACAATTTCATGCAAAGTATTTTCCAAAAAAAAATTAATGAGAAGTGTGTTTTACATTTTTGTAAGTCTCTTTAATGTCTAGCTTAAAAGATAAGTGAAGTCTCATATGTGCTTCTGCACTTGGTCTGTTGTGATAAATTGTTTTGGTTGAAGTATATGCAGAAAATCCAGCCTCACATAGGTATGTAGCTGGAGAAGAGGGGACCTCCTAGATCCCTGAAAGGGCCTCAGGGACCTTAAAAATACTTTTAAGAACTATTGCTCTAACCTAAAAGGGAAAATGCAGTAAAGTCCAGAAATTGGAGAAAGGATTAGGAGGAAGTTTCATGTGTTTAGTACAGTATATAGAGGTTTACTTATTGTCATTTTATCATTTGTAGGTTAAAAAAACATCCTTCATGAAGAAGAAAGATCTTAAGCAACATGATGGATTCAGAAGCTCATGAAAAGAGGCCGCCCATCCTAGCATCTTCAAAACAAGATATATCACCTCATATTGCCAATGTTAGTGAAGTGAAGCATTACTTGTGTGGCTGCTGTGCAGCTTTCAACAATGTAGCCATCACGTTTCCCATTCAGAAGGTCCTCTTTAGGCAACAGCTGTATGGCATCAAAACCCGGGATGCCGTACTTCAGTTGAGGAGAGATGGATTTCGAAACTTGTATCGCGGAATCCTTCCCCCATTAATGCAGAAGACAACCACACTGGCACTTATGTTTGGTCTTTATGAGGACTTATCTTGCCTTCTCCGTAAGCATGTCAGTACCCCAGAGTTTGCAACCCGTAGCATGGCAGCAGCACTCGCAGGGACAACAGAAGCGATCTTCACTCCATTGGAAAGAGTTCAGACATTGCTTCAAGACCACAAGCATCATGACAAATTTACAAACACTTACCAGGCTTTCAAGGCACTGAAATGCCATGGAATTAGAGAGTATTATCGAGGCTTGGTGCCCATTCTTTTCCGTAACGGATTCAGCAATGTCCTTTTTTTTGGCCTTCGAGGTCCCATCAAGGAGCACCTGCCCACGGCGACGACTCACAGTGCTCATTTGGTCAATGATTTTATCTGCGGAGGCCTTTTGGGTGCCATGTTGGGAATCTTGTTTTTTCCAGTTAATGTTGTAAAAACTCGCATGCAGTCTCAGATTGGTGGGGAATTTCAGTCTTTCCCCAAGGTTTTCCAAAAAATCTGGCTCGAAAGGGACAGGAAATTGACAAATCTTTTCAGAGGTGCCCATCTGAATTACCATCGGTCCCTCATCTCTTGGGGCATAATTAATGCGACTTATGAATTCCTGTTAAAGATTATATGAAAGAAATTAGTTGAGTGCCATTTATCAACTGAATAGACCTAAAAAGAATGCAGTTTGGCATCGTTCCTAATTGGCCAAGTACAAGTTGGTGTCATAAGTTTAGGGCACAATGAATTATGGGCAAAGCTGTTTTCCTTAAGCACCAACAAATGCAGAATAAAAGATTTCAGTAGGAAATTCTAAGGGTTTTTTTGGGTTTGTTTGTATTTTTAAAAAATCATTATCTGAGAACTTTAGGCTAATTGCCAGGTTAATAGCTGTCTAGTTGATGGCTTTTGACAAGGAAACTAACAGACAAGATATGATTCTTTTTTCCAAAAGTCTTCTGTGTCTAAACATAAGTGGCCATGACCAGCCAGAGAAAAGACTCTTAAGAGTCCCATGAATTCTCAGGCTTACTTCTATTACTCCATTTCTTGCTTCTCTGCTCTTAGGAGGAGTTGCAAAGGCAGTTTTTGTTAACTTAAGCATATCCGTGGTAGGACAGAGGGGCAGAAGAGAGATGAAAAACAGATGATTATTTGTAGGCTTTTCATGATAAGTTGTGTTTGTTTTGAAACTAAGCACCTGTTGGGATGGTCATTATCCAAGCAACTAATGAAATCTCCCAAATGGAGAGGTTTTGCTTTCTAGGGTTGAAAGTTTTTCTCTGTAGTTCTAAATGTGACCATGAACCTTTCGAAAATATTTTTATGTTAATTTCTCTCATTGCATTGCCAAAAGATGACGGGACTTAAATTTTGTTAATGGTGTTTCATCCCACTAGGAAGTTTCGTGTTACAGGTATCTCCCACTTTTCCAGTTTCCTTTATGCCACTTCACTTTTACAAAAGACCTATATCAGTACCTGTCTTCACTAACTGAAAGAAATCCAAACAGGATTTTTGCTTTTACGAAAAAAGGTAATTGCTTCTCACTCTACCCCATTTCGGCTTATGAAAGGTTCCACAGGAATATGTGGGAAACCTGTAATTGCATACAGGTCCAACTCTGTTTAGCTCTGTGTCTTTGAATTATTGTTGCCAACTTAGTTAAGAGCTTTGGAGTTGGGGTTTTTTTTTTTTCCTTTGAGTAATAGTTTGTCCTATTCAAATGTCCTGTTTGCGTGAAATTCCCTTGAGAAAAAAACAACAAAAATGCTGCTATAAAGTTTTATTTTGGAAGTCTCTTAATAGGATCTCAGTTTTTTTGGTTTCTAAATGTTACTTGGAAGGGAAAAAAGATCTCAGGATAGCTTTCACCCCACAGTGTTAGCTTTTTTAATGAATTTTATTCATGGGAATAGAGACTTCTATTAGGATTTTTACATTTTGGAAACCCAGTTTTAACCATTTCATCATTTAAACAATAAAACAGTTTGGGGGGATAAGACCTAAATAAAAATAATCGGAAGGGTTAGCTTGAAATTCTGGAAATTGGTAATAATTGGGTAGCATACCTGTCCCTCACCTAACAGACAAGAACTTACTTGTCAAAGGAATCAGATTTTAAAATAATTTTTTCCAGATAAGTAAGGCAGAATGACTCCTACACCAATTGAATAACTAATATATGACATCCTAGAAAAGTGGTTTATCAATCTTTAAGTAATCCACATCTGTATATACTATGTAGTTAAACTTGTGTCCCAGCATCTGACACGGCAGAGCACGTAGGTTTCTTAATACCAGTCTTTCAGCGTTCTGGGTAATTGCATGTGAATACGTGCACATGCTGACCAAAACAAAACCAGGGTCTCAATTGGTGGTTTACTCAGTTTCTGGACAGACAGTCCAAAAAAATGTTTACCTCTCAATGCAGGGTGGCTGGTCGGATGGCACGAGTGTCCTTCCAGCTGCAGAGGATTCGGAGGCGCGGACGAGCGTTTGCCAGGCGGTAATGAGGCGCAGTAGCTTTACAGCGGTTCTCTTTGACAGCGTTGTGCTGGGAATGGCAGTTTGTTCTGGAAACCAAGGTGCAGATGTCAGGATTTGAGAAAACAATTTGACACCAAATAACTGTGAGTAGCATCCTTTGGCCTATTGAATAGAGTCAGAACTTGAAGCGGTTTGAGTTTCAGAAATGAGTGGCAAAGGCCCTGCGCTGCCTGACCCCTTGTTGCCGTGTATGTCCCCGAGCACCTTAGCCTGGGGTCGTGCCTGGCCCTGGGAGTGGACTCTGCGGGCCTTCAGATCCACGGGGCTTCCTTTTGTCTGTACACTCCATGTAGGTGTTAGAAATCTTAAGTTCTAAAGCACTTTTGTGAAATACAAGTGAAGTGAGAATTCGAAGGAGGGTGCTTTGCTTTCTGCTGTCTCAAACATGTGGCATTTAAAAACAATAAATATTTTTAATGATTTTAACTCATAATATTTTGGGATTTTTTTTTTGTCACTTTTTATAGCTTTTGAAGACCAAACTGCAAATGCATTACCAGGGATGGTTTTGTGTTGTCCTGTGGATTTCTTAGTTTGACAGAAAACTCAGCAGAACTTACAGTAGCCAACAGCTTTGTCTGAACTCTGAAATAAGTAAAAATGTGTTATTAGTAAGAGATTCTAACTATTGCTTTTACCTTCAGTGTGAACTAGTGTGGTAGTAATTTTGAAAAGACAAACATTATTGAATAACTTTATCTGGAAAGCTTTAAAAGTGGCCTTTCTGTTACATACGTGGTACTGACGGCTCATGAGTGCAGAGCACTTCTTTCTGGTCTTGCCTCCACTACTTCAGGTCTGATGCCACCAGAAATCTGTTATGGATTCTACATTTAACATACTTAGAGTGGTACAAACCCCCAGGACTGCACCACAGAGTAAACACAACCTCCATATGGTGGCAAATGTGTGTGTCTTTGTTTCGTTTGTGGTTGAAGACAAAGGTGATGTTTTTATCTCAATAGTTGATATTCATCTTACTTTATGGTTCTTTATATAATCACCTGCTGTATATTGTGAACTGTGCAATAAGTCAGAATTGTATATGTAATCATCTTTGGAGACCTGAAATCCCCTGCTTGAGTACAGTGGTAATACTCAGTTATAAGGCTGCAAACGTGTAAGGGAGTGATAACGGGTGGTGCTAGTGGGCCTCATGGTGGGCCGGTCTTGTTGACCAGCACTGGGTCATTGTGGGTGAAGTACTGCTGTCAAAGAGGGTGCAGTCAGGATGGAGCTGAGATGGGAGATCACATTTAAAGAAAGTGTAAGCACTCAGACTTGATCTCTCTTAAAATATCTTTGTTTTCTCACATGTTTATAAATACATATCAAAGACTTGAACAGGCGTTCTAAAATTTGAGGATTTTTAGTTTTTAATGCTGTCTTTTTGCCTGATACTGAATATTTGCTTGCCTGAATGGCTCCCAAATTGTGGGGAGTCTCTACATGTTTCCTTTTTTAAAGTTTCATTATTAGAAGTGGTTAAGCACACAAAGCTGTTTTTGTTTGATATTTTGAGTTTATTGTGACTGTATGAGTTTAAATGCCATCTGTTAAATGTTTTAGAATTAACATGCTTTTGGTAATTCTGTTTGGAATAAAGTTTTTTGTTTGTTTTTTTTTTTAAGTGCATTCATGTTGGTCTTCTCTTGCCATTGGGTTAGGGTTACCAGCGCTTCCCTTTTTGTGGTAGATTAGTCTGTTAGTCTTTTTGTTGATGGAACATTTAGCACACAACTTTGACTCTTAGTAACTTCACCTGATAAGTTTGTAGGCTGGAAAATTCTTCATTTATCCATCTTGTTTGCTCAAGAGAAGTTCCAGATAAGTTAATTTTCTAGATAGCTGAACTGCAAAGCATTTTGTTTTGTTTTGTTTTTAAAGGTTTTGCTTAAATGTAATAATCTTCTCCCCACTGGGTGTAAACGGTCTTGGTAAATTCAGCTTTATCAGTACTTGCTGTTGTAACAGTGTGCCTTCAGCTCATGCCTTCCCCCAAGCTAAATGGTCTGGATGTTTGTGCTTTCTGAGTTTTTTTATATCTGTTTTTGACTTCATAGCTGTTCATTTCTGTTGGGAGACTGTGAAATCATATTAGGAAACTGTTGGTTTACACATTAAATTGTAAGGTGCCCCTGACCTGGGATTGTTGAGGTTGCCTAATGAGGACCACCAGGTAAGGGAGCAGTTAACCATACAATGCTTCTAAAGCACTCTAGTTTTAGAAGTATTTTAGAAATTCATTATAAAAGTGAGTATCCTGAACTCCAGAATTGATAAAAGGGGCATTTTACATATCATGTAATGAAATGTTGCTGTCTCCTTCCGTAGCAGTCTGTTCTCCTGGGAGTGAGGGGGCCATTGATGGGTAATTGACCGGGGTGGGGGAGCTGTACTCAAGTCTCCAGACGCTGGTCCCAACTCAGTTGTGTCAGCATCTCGTTTCCAGAAGTGAGCTTTCTCTCCAGATAAGCATATCTGATTTTGAAGTAAAATTGAGGCTAAAATAGAACTTATCCAAATTCTCATCTGCCTTCAATCCATTCTTCATGTTCCTGTGAGTAATTTTTTTGGGTTTTCAGATCGGCCCTGTCCCCCTTACTGTCATGTCCAGCTAGACCGCCCTGCCCAGCCACTGCTGCCAGGACTCGAGTCCTCTAACCTCCCGCCTCACCCCTGCCAGGTCCCGCCACTGAACAGCGCCTTCTCCCTGGCTCACTCGGTAACTCCTCCTGAGGCCTTCAGATCTCAGCTCAAATGTCACTTCCTCGGGGAAGCAGGCTCCACTTTCCAGGCCAAGTCAGGTTCCCCTCTTAGATACTCCTGTGCTGTTTTCACAGCACTTGCCTATCTTAATTATAGGTAATCATAAGTATTTGATGCCTTTTGCCCTTTCAAATGTTAGCTCCATAAAATGGGACTCTGCTCTCCTTTTCACAGTTTCAGGTGCCTGGCACAGTGCCTGACACCTGTAGATGTCTGATAAATGTCTTTAAGAATCAAGAGTAAAGGGACACGTGGAAACTCAGGATCACAGCATTCTGGAGTCCCCTGTCTGACTCATCCCTGATGGGTGGGTCATGGAGGTTGTTTCAGAAAAAAATTTTAACACTGCTCAGGCCACCATAGATTAAATGTCTTGAACAACAGACATTTCTCACAGTTGCAGACACCAGGAAGTCCAAGATCCAGGTGCTGGCAGATCTGGGTCCTGGTGAGAGGCCTCTTGGCGTGCAGACTCCTCACTGTGTGTTCACGTGGCCAAGAGACAACCTCCTGAGCTCATCTAAACCTGATCACACAAACACTGAGCCCCTAACATATATGAGCCAGAAGGTGCAACTGTTCTTTCCTCTCCTCCTTTACTCAGAAATACCCGGCCGACTTGATACAGAAAGTCTCTACGTGAGTCAGGATTCGAATGTGTACAGGCACTCTATTTTTCTTACTCTTCCTCGCACTGTTTGTGAAATTGTGGAACTCAGCCAAAGAGCTGACTGAGAAGGGCAAGGAGAAAGTGTTCCTTAAAATAAACAGTGTGTCGTTGACGGCTGCCTTGGTCCTGTTGTGCCACGAAGGCGGTGACTTGCTTTGTTTAGAGCAGACTGCCTCCGTAGTTGCTCTGCCTTTCACATCAGCATTTAGTCAGGTTCTCCGGTCAGTCAGCAGTTACTTGCTCCTGACAGAGAGCACAGCAGAGAGGGGAGTGCATGCAGTTCCACCGAGATGCTCTATGCCTTTTTGTTTCAGATGATAATAGGAAAGAGAAACTAATTTCTTTCAAGGGTCATCACATCTCTAGTAATAGGTGGCTCCTGGTGTATAGATTTCTCCTTTCCTTTTGGCAAAATGAAGCTTCAAAAAGCTTCCTTACCCCTCTTATACTTTGCTAGGCAAAGAGTGATTAAACAAATTTGGGAGTTTTCTTGAGTGTTGCACACCTCACTCCCCACTGAAAAAAACAGCCATAGAGTTTTGAAGACAGTAGGGAAAAGTGGGTATGTATGGGAACCAGTACTTTTCATTTATAATTTGTGTGTAAAATATGAAGATAACGAGTGAAGAAGTTAGGGGGTGAGGGCCTGAACTGGGAGATGTAGTTGGTGTGATAAGCCCTGAGAAAGCTCAGGTGAAGTCCGACAACGTTGAAAGCTTTGCTGTTGCAGTTTGACACCCTTCAAGGCTTCTGTCACTTGTGGTCCAGGAACAAAAAAGCATGTTGTTTTTATGTTTGGGAGCAATACTAAATATACCTAAGGTGATACCAACTCAAACTAGAGAAAAACAGGATCCCTTATTTCTACTTGTGCCTTTTATAGTTTCTTCTTTATGCTGTTCAGCAGATTTACCTTACATCTGCTCAGTACTGTAAAACTGCCCTTTTAAGGGCAAATCATTTTGAGTTAGAAGACTCTAGACTTGTGGATAATATAGAGCATCGGCTGCCCGAGACAAGTTCCAAAGTAGAACTTTAAATTTCCCTTGATTCCTGCTGGCTCTCAGGCTGGATTACGTCTCCAGTTGCATGGGATCACCGCCTCGGCCCCAGCTCTCTGGCCACAATGTGCTGTATGTGTGAACACCTTGAGGACAGGGACTGTCTTTCTGAGCTCTGTATCCACAGACTAGAGGTTCTCATAGTAAATATCTATTTAGTGAATGAATCATAGTCTGATCCCAGATGTCTTTACCACTGTTACTCTCCCTGTTTCAGAGACACTTTGAATTTCTTAGGAATTTATCTTTTAAAAATTATCATGGGGAACACATAATGTGTGATTCCACTTATATGAAGTTCTAGAAGTGGCAAATCTACGGTGGAAAAAGAAAACAGTGGTTGCCTCTGGGAAGGAGCATGAAGGAACTTTCTGGGGTGATGGTAGTAATCTGTATCTTGTTCGGCATCTGGGTTACGTTTGCCTAACAGCAAACGTGCCATTAATATTTGTGCACTTTATTATATGGGACTTTTACAACAAAAGAGAAAATACTGAATGAACTTCAGTTAGTTAATGGTATGTATTGTTGAGGATTTTTAGAAGGATGGGTACAGATACCTGCAATTTATTCATCAAAATACATTGAAAATTAAGATGGATTGATGGATAGAGTATTAGATAATGGATAAAACAAGCTTAGTAAAATGTTAATGGTAGAATCTTGGTAAATGGATGTTCCCTGTAAAATTCTTTCAACTTTGCTGTGTCTTTGAACATTTCATAATAAAATGTTAAGAAAAATCATTAGGGTGTTTATCACAATATTTGGTGTCAGCAGTATTTGACTCAGTTTAGTTCTTTTAGTGTGCTCGTTCTCAGAATGCCATTGAGCCTTAGGACGCTGCAGAAATGCCTGCCGCAGGGGGGGAGGACAAGCCTAGGCATGTTATTCGCTTATCCTCCCCACTAGCCCTGATGGCCCAGTGATGTGGCAGCCACCTCCCTCTCCTTAAGCCCAGAATACCCCCCAGATTGTGACAGGGCTGGTGGGTAAAACAGAGGCTAATCAACTGAAGGGTTTTGTTTTTTGAGACTGCCTCAAAAGTGAGTGGTCTTCTCACCCCCTGAAGGGACCATGATTTTCCTGCCAGGACTCTGCAACTTTCATTAAAGGCCAGGAAATCCTTATTCATACATTTATTAAGTACACACACAAAAACCTCTTCAGGTAATAACTGCTTAAGAATAAATACAGTGTATTCAGAACAGATTCTATATTCTGTATTTAACTTTTACAAAGTAATACTTTCACAATGAAATTTGGATCCTTCATTTTATCCAGACAAAAATTAATCTTTTATAGTGATGGGCTTTTGCAAGTTAATGTAAACACTGTGGTCTCATATACCCATAATTTAAATGGCTTTCAACGGAGAGAGCTATTTCCCACCCCAAAAGGGATTAAAAGCTGTTCTGAGTGGCCTGTGCCCTGGTTGGCGCTTCTGTTCCCATTCTGGATTTGTCCACGAGTTGCAGGCTGTTTGGCGCTCACACCAGTGTTTCTGTAGCAGCTCCCCTTGTAGAGTTAGAAGATAAGCCACACAGCACCCGGTCTGTTCCTGAGAAGATAAGATGATCTTAGTGTAATTTACTGCTCAGTAACTTAAATGCCATGTTAAAACGGGAGCCTCGGCTCTGGCTAAAGAAGGATGGCGCAGCTGGTGGGATGCATGGTGGTTCACCTGTCAACCTCCAAGGTTAAGATGTTCTCTGAACTGGCTTCTTTGATCTACGCAGAGATCCGTGGAGCTGTCATCCATGAAAAATCTAACCCCTCATTACATTTTTCTATATCCCTAGTTCTCAAACTGTGGTCCCCAGACCTGCAGCATCAACTAAAAACTGGTTAGAAATGCAAAATGGGGGCTCCCACCCTAGACCTGTGAAATCAGCTCCGGATGTTAACCCAGCAGTCTCTGTTTTAACAAGCCCTCTGGGTGATTCTAGTGCCTGCTAGATCTTGCGCACCACTTTTCATGTCTTCTGCTAGAGAGAAGGGCCTGGGAGGAAAACTCATTGGACACAAATTTGTGTTGTTTTAACAATTAAGATAGGTAATTTGTTACATTAGTAATAGGAAACTAATATAAGTCATTAATTAATCAGTATTAATGCATGGCAAATCATT